ATGAGAACTACAGATCAGAGGTACTCATCAGCGGACCTATCAGAGTCAGAGTCAGAGTTCAGTCAGAAGACCATCAGAACTCAACTCATCAGAAAGACATCAGAACTCCACCAGAACTCAGAAAGCCATCAGAATCCAACACATCAGAAGAGCCTGATCAGAGCCCGACTAACACTTAGAAGTTCTCAAGCAACATTCAACAGCTATGAATCCAACGGGTAAAAACATCCAACGGCTAGAAGACTGTGCATGAAAGAAAAGCATTTAATGCACATTAAATGAGCCTGATACGCTGAAGGATTGATTGCAAATGATTGACCAAGGAATCCGGGAAGATATTTTATAAAAATAGAAACCTTCCAAAACGGCGGTCAAGTCAACTGTACGCGCATTTAATGCAGTTGTCTCCTCCTCCAACGGGCAGACAACCTCAGTATATAAGCTACACACTGAAGATACAGGAAAACAACTTTGCAACTTTGCAAAAACTTCTTGCTCCATTCATACTTCTTGAGATTCAACCTTCATAACACACAACAAGAAAAGTCCTACGTTGGGAAGATTCAAACTCCAAATCTTTCATTCTCAACAACGAGCAAAGTTCATCCTGTTCTTCAACTCTTCAAGAACTTCATCAAATATCTTTTGTGACGAAGCAAGTTGGAGGAAAAACTCTGTTTTTCAAAGGATCTTCTGAAAAGAAGGGCGTCCAAGTAACTGCAGTAGTGAAGTGGTGATACTTCCGGGAAGCTGAGTGAAAGGACCAGCCATCAGGACGTGGAATTGCATCCTGGGTGGCATCTAGACTTGAAGAAGACGAGGAGTGCTTCTTAAGTGCTAGGATTTAGCTTTGTAACCGATCTACTTCAAAGCTAGTGGAACAGTGGCCTAGAGGAACGAGTTGTTCCTTGAACCACTATAAAAATATCCGGTGTCGTTTACTTTACTGCAATTTACATTTCTACACTTAGGATATTAACTGTTAACTCTAAGACTTGGAATCTGTGTTCAGCAGATCTTGTTTTCAGAGTTATCAGAAAGGCATTTGCCTTAGTGTTTCTGAGGCTACCCGGACAGATCAGAATCCGCTGCCAAGGCCAGTTCTGATATCAGAACCAGCCTTCCTCTGTCACCAGAATCAGACCTTCTCTGATAAGTCACCTTGGACTTAGAGAAAAATTTGAAAAACCAATCAGTCTATTCACCCCCCCCCCCCCCTCTAGACTGATTACCATATTAAACGGGACCAACAAGTGGTATCAGAGCCTCCTTGTTCTTGTAATCTTTTAGGTTACTCTCTGAACAAAGATCCACTTGTTCTTAGCCTCTATTTACTTACTATTATGGATAACTCTCTTGCAAAGCACCTCATGTTTTCAGATCAGAAGTATGATGACTGGAAGATCAGAATGAAAGCACACCTCTGCGCTCTTCATGATGAAATGTGGGAAGTCCTTGAAGAAGGACCCTTCACCAAATTTATGAAGGTGAATACTGAGCATACTATTGACAGGACACAGCCTGAGATGATTGAGAAAGCCAGATCAGAATGGACAAAGGAAGAGAGGAGACAGTACAATCTTGACAATATTGCCAAAGATATCCTCTACAAAGCCATCGACAACAGATACTTCAACAGAATCAAGAAGTGTCGAACTGCCAAAGAAATATGGGACAAACTTGATCTCATAGGAGCAGGTGATGAACAAGAGAGAGACAACAAACTGACAATAGCTATGAAGAAGTTTGATGACTTCAAACTTCTACCTGAGGAATGCATAGCTGAGATGCATGCCAGACTTCTGATTCTTACCAGCGAGATATCCGAGCTTGGGAAGGAGCTCACAGTTAAAGAAGTCAACCTGAAGATTCTCAGAGGACTGCCCCCAGTCTGGAAGATGAAGGTTATTGCTGTCCAAGAAAGTAAGGACATCAAAACCTATCCAAGAGTGTCCAAGAAGCAAGGACATGAAGAAGAAAAGAAACCAGAAGATCAACACAGAAGAAGAAGAGCATTCGTGTCAGAACAAGCTGAGAGAGATCCACTCTCTGAATCAGAGTCCAGTTCAGACTCTGACTCTGATGAAGCCTTCTGCTGCTTGGATGCAGAAACTGAAGACCTTTGCCTCATGGCACAATCTGATGATGAGGTATGTTCTACAGCTGACTCTATTTCTTCTTCGGTAGGCACAGCCTTAAATGATGATCCAATGTCATCATTTTGGGAAGAGTTCAAAACTATCCAAGGATCTTATTCCTTTATTAAAGAAGAGAACAGTAAGCTTAAAGCTGAAAATGAGTCTCTTCTAAAGAGAATAAGAAAAATTGAACATCTTGAAGTCAGATACAATAGCCTTCTGAAGATGCAATCTTCTATGAAGGGTATCAATGACTTTCACAACTCTACCCCTGGCCTTGGATATGTTGAACCAGAGTCTGGTGAGCCTTCTGTAAGGCCTAGCACCAAAGTTGCTAAGGCTAAAAAGGTCATAGTGTCACAGACTCTGAGCCCCAGTTGTCATGCTAGTACTTCTGGTACTAAAGTTGTTCATGAGAAAGTCCCACCAGAGAACCAAAGACTAAAGGCCAAACCAAAACAAGTTTTGAAAATTAATGAACCTGGCAGAAGATCTAATAACAGAAAAAGTTGTCAGAACAATAAAATTCAAAGGCCAAAACCTATCAGACAATCTCATGACAATGGTATCAGAAATCACTATCAGAGAGGCAAATATCAAGAGAAAATTAACTATAGACAAATGAGGTTGTCTGGTCAACCTCAGAAGCCTAAAGTTAAGCGCCCCTCTGACCTTGATAGTATATGGGACTTCTTTCCAACAAAGAAGGCTATGCAGAAGTATGCAAACAGAAAGCATGATCCTCACAAGCATCTGCCCAAAGTGAATCATACATCTGTTTACTACGACTACCAGGTGGACAATGGGTACCATCCACCAAGGTTTCAGTTGATGAGACCAAAATGGTACCAACTACCAAGACTACATTACCCCCCAGGACCCAACATTGCTTGGGTACCTAAATCTTCCTTTTAATTTTGCAGGAACTGTGTGCTGGAGCTATCTCAGAGCAAGAATGGTTTATAGATAGTGGATGCTCCAGGCACATGACAGGTGACAAGAGTTGCCTATCAGAGTTCCAGAAAATCAATGGACCCAGAGTCACTTTCGGTGGAAATGACAAGGAAGGGCAAACAAAAGGAAGAGGAAAGCTGATCAAGAACCAGATAATCATTGAAGATGTCTCATATGTCAAAGGTCTAAAGTTCAACCTCCTAAGTGCTAGCCAATTCTGTGACAAAGGCTACACAGTTGAATTCACCAAGACCTTATGCTATGTCAAGCATGAGACAACCAAGGAAGTGGTCCTTATAGCCAAAAGAAGGAAGAACATCTATGTTGTTGACTGGCAAACAGCAAAAGATGGAACCTGTCTGATAGCAAAGGACAATTCAAAGCTAAGCTGGGACTGGCACAAGAAGCTTAGCCACCTGAATTTCAAAACCATCAACAAACTGGCAAGGGAACACATTGTAGATGGTCTGCCTGACATTGTCTACAAGAAGGAGACCCTCTGCAGTGCTTGTCAGAAAGGAAAACAAGTGAAGACTTCATTCAAACCCATAGCTGGAGATCTTTCTACTTGTCCTCTAAATCTGATCCACATGGATTTATTTGGACCAGTTGAAACTCCCAGTGTTGGTGGAAAAAGATATACTCTTATTATGGTTGATGACTACTCAAGATATACATGGACTGTGTTCCTAACCAAGAAGAATGAAACTCTTCAGAAGTTGCCATCTCTGTTAAAGCAACTTCAGACTGAGAAGAACATGAAGGTCAGGACAATCAGGTCTGACAGAGGAACTGAATTTGTCAAAAAAGTGATCAAGGACTTCTGTGATCAGAATGGCACCTTTCATCAACTTTCTGCTGCCAGAACACCCCAACAAAATGGTGTTGCAGAAAGAAGAAACAGAACTCTGAAAGAAGCTGCAAGAACTATGATTGCAGAATCAGGACTGCCCATCAGATACTGGGCTGAAGCTATCAACACTGCATGCTACACTCAAAACAGAAGCATGATCCACAAGAATCATCAGAAGACCCCCTACGAGCTGTGGAAAGGAAGAAAACCAAACATCAGCTACTTCCATGTGTTTGGATGTAAGTGCTATATCCTAAACAATGGAAAGGAGAATCTGAAGGTATTTCAAGAAAAAGCTGATGAAGGTGTATTCTTAGGCTACTCAAGTTCAAGCAAAGCCTATAGAATACTCAACAGAAGATCTCTACAAGTTGAAGAATCCATCCATGTCAAATTTGATGATGGTACCTCTGCAGAAGAATTATCAGAGATCCTGCAGAAGATCAACCTTGAAGACAAGGGTTCAGAACTATCAGAAGAGGCCATAAACAATCCTATATTCTCAACTCCTCCTGCCAATCCAGTTCTGATAGACAAAGATGAAGATGAAGATGATGTATCAGAAGATGAACCATCTGAGTTGCCTAGACAGCAACTGACAGAACCTGATCTAACTTGGTTAAGAGATCATCCTCCTAATCAAGTGATAGGTCAAGTCACCAGTGGTGTTAGAACCAGATCTGCATCTAGAAGAGAAGCCATGTTCACCTGCTGCATATCTCAAATGGAACCAATGTGTGTAGAAGAAGCTCTAGAAGATTCAGATTGGATCAATGCAATGCAAGAAGAGCTGACACAGTTTGAAAGGAATGAAGTGTGGAAACTTGTTCCCAGACCAAAGCATCAGAATGTCATTGGAACCAAATGGGTATTCAAGAAAAAAGCAGATGAAGAAGGCAACATTGTAAGGAATAAAGCAAGGCTTGTAGCAAAGGGATACTGTCAAGAAGAAGGCATAGACTTTGATGAGACCTTTGCACCTGTAGCAAGACTGGAAGCAATCAGTGTCACGCCCCGGACCTCCCCGGACACGCCAACAACCCGCCGTACAATACGAATAGTCAACCGCAGTCCAACACATTCATATTATACAAGGCGTCCCGAATATCATTCACACGTAAGCCATCCATAAACAAACATAATAAGTAATCGAATACATAGCGGAAAACATAGTTTGAAAACAAATGCCACACGTGGCTAACATGAGCACGCAGGCTCTAAAGTAAATATCCATGAGCATGTTTATTAATGTTTAAAACTGAATGGAGGAAGCACGAACCAAGTCTTCCCTCCTAGATGATCCCTCGAGCAACGAGCACAGGAAGCAAGCTCTAGCCTCAACCTGAAAAATGGTGGTGGGACGCCCCCGAAGGGGGTCAGCACTCTATACGGCTATAAAGTGCTGGTGTGGATGGCATCTAATAGATATACAACAAGTATTTCAAACACAAGACCCTCAAATAGGGTGATAATATAATCTAGGCCGTAACCCCAAGTTACCCCGTTTTAAAATATACTTACTTTATATATAAAGTCAAGTAGTCGGCCCGTAGGCCCAAGGTTTGTTTATCAAACATACTCCAAAATCCCGTGACCCCTAGTCACAACAATACATAGGGTCCAACCCTAACACATATGTTTGCATTCTCGAGTCCAACTCGACTACATCACCATGCACCTTTATTAACATAAGCTAACTACTCCACCGTGCATTCTCGAGTCCAACTCGACTACATCCCCATGCACACAATCACCTCATCATGTCTACCCAATGCAATTCTATGAGCACGGGCTCAAGTACATCTCCTTACATTGGCATAGACCCCAATTCCTAAGCACTCACTAGGCCTAGAATTGTAATATCAATAATCTATCTTGGGACATCCCTACGGACTGCCCAACCATGGTCTTAGCATCACATTACATCAATTTAGTCACTTGCATCACAATCAAGTTCATCAATTACAATCAAATCCTTAGATTCAATTCTTCAACAATTTCAACAATCATTAACTAGTATTTCAATACTATTAAGATTATTCTTATCAATCATATATTCCATTTGTAAAACCCTACATATTTAGAGATATGTAGCAGCAACTTAATCATTCAATGTAATACATAAATAATCATTTATGTATCTACACAATTCACACATGAGTAAAATGCCTATTTCACACAATAGTTTATTTAACTCCATTTTCATCAATACTTTACCAAATCATTTCTTATTTCATTCTTTGGAAAATAGATCAATATTCCATCAATAGGTTATCATCATAATCCATGGAAAACATTATTTAAGCATTTAGGTAATCTCATGCTTAACCTACAAGTTGTAAGCAACTAGATGTCGATCCTCACCTCAAATGAGCTTTAAAACCTTCCTTCTCGATCCAATGGCTAAAGCCTCGGCCAAGGAAGATTGGGAACTAGTTCCTTGCTTGAAAATGGGTGCTAAACAGCCTCCTCAAGTTGTTATTTCAACCCCGAATCGTTGATACTAAAACAGCCCCTAGAACGGGTGTTTTCCGGCTAACTCGATTCCTAGTTTTCCAATGTTTGCATCTAGGTTAGTATCTAACCTTTACATCAATAAAATAACTTAATAGGGATGTTTTATACACTTGGAGTAGTGTATAATAGTCCCACCAATCGTTCATATCATTTGGAAAATGAATGGAAAGGTTTTGGGATTAACAACTCACTTAGAAGAGTAAATCCGTCCCTGCGAGGTCTCGTTCTGCTCGGACGATTTGGAAGCCTTCCTCTACTCCGATTGATGCAAACCAGACCTTCACGGATTCCTCGTCTTGAGAGCTTTCTTTTGGTATCTCACACGCCTTAATTGGATTGGTAAAATTCGAGATATCGGCCAAACAGTCTCAGCACTCTCACAGCTCGAGTTCACAGACCTCTGCTCGTTCCAGATCGATTTGTGGATGATTGACTTCTCCTCTCGAACTGTGGCCACTCAAATATGAAAATAGACTTCAAAAGCTATCCAAAGACACCTTATACACGTTGTTTGGTCGAGTATAACTCCCATAATGAGTGGAGACAAACAGCACACCATTTTGTGCGGAAATTGACAAGGTGGGTCTCAAGGTTGATTCCAATCAAGTCTTGTGCAGCCCTCCTCCAGCTGGTGCGGCCAAGGTAAGTCTCCTCACTTAATTTTCTTGTTTTGTAGGTACTCTAATCATGTGGAGTGGTTCCCAATTGATCCCAATTAATTTGGGATCCAAATTATCTACCAATACTTCCAAAAATGGGGAAAATGGGTCCTATTGTTTTATCTTTGTCAAAAGATGCCTTTTTGTACTCATCCTAATTTATTTAGAACAAGTCAACTTCCTAAATCACATTATTGATCTCCAATATGTGTAGGCTCATCCCAATAATTTACATTATGAAAATTACAAACGAATGCGGGTTTGAACAATACAATATTCAATCATATACTTCGTAAAATATTAATCGTTTCTTCCATTATTTTGAAATCGGAAATTCAATACATCACTTTGGAATTTTAAATCGAATTTTCAAGGACGTTCGGGTGCGGTGTCACAAGTTCACCCCCCCTTAACAGGAATTTCGTCCCCGAAATTCACAGCTCTACTCGAATAAGAAAGCATACTGCTTCCTCATCAAAGCCTCTGTTTCCCATGTCTCTTCCTCGACCCGATCGCTCTTCCACAGGACTTTAACCATTGGGACTTCTTTGCTCCTCAGCTTCTTCACCTTTCTATCGGTGACCTTGATAGGTTGAACAGCGTAGTTCAAATCCTCACGTACCTCTACAGGTGGCTTCTCCAATACGTGAGAGGGATCGTGCACATACTTCTTAAGCATGGATACATGAAACACATTATGTATCTTCTCTAACTCAGGAGTCAACTGTAGACGATATGCAACGGCCCCAATCCTCTCTATAATTCTGAATGGACCTATATATCGTGGGTTAAGTTTTCCTCGGGTTTGGAACCGAATGATCCCTTTCCAAGGAGAAACTTTCAAGAATACCTCGTCATCAGCCTTAAACTCTAAGGTTCTTCGACGCTTATCTGCATAACTCTTTTGTCTATCCTGAGCCGCCTTGAGTCTCTCTCGAATCAACTTCACCTTTGATTTGGTGACCTCAACCAACTCAGTACCCTCGAGTTTGGCCATGCCAACCTCGTCCCAGCATAACGGTGTACGACACCTTCTCCCATACAATGCCTCGTATGGAGGCATGCCGATGCTTGCCTGATAACTGTTGTTATAGGCAAACTCCACAAGTGCTAAGTGGTTGTCCCAACTTCCTTGGAACTCCAATGCACAAGCCCTCAACATGTCTTCCAAGATCTGTATGACTCTTTCAGACTGTCCATCCGTCTGTGGGTGGAAAGCAGTACTGAACTTCAACCTCGTTCCCATAGACTCCTGAAATTTCGGCCAAAAACGTGATGTGAATCGTGGGTCTCTATCGGATACAATGGTCACTGGGACCCCATGCAGCCTCACGATCTCATCCGTATACAATTTGGCTAACCTCTCAAGTGGGTAGGTAGTGTTGATAGGCAAGAAGTGTGCACTCTTTGTGAGCCTATCCACAACGACCCAAACTGCATCATAGTTCCTGATTGTCCGTGGTAAACCTACCACGAAATCCATAGTCACGTGTTCCCACTTCCATTCAGGAATGGAAAGTGGCTGCAATAAGCCTGCTGGATGCTGATGTTCCGCCTTAACTTGTTGACAAGTAAGGCATCGACTAATGTATTCGGCTATTTCCCTCTTCATCCCAGACCACCAGTAACTTTCTTTCAAGTCACGGTACATTTTCGTGCCCCCCGGGTGCATGGCATACGCCGATGAATGAGCCTCCTCTAAGATGGACTTTCGGAGCTCCTCATCTGCCGGTACACACACTCGGTCACGAAATAATAAGAGACCGTCATCTCTTTCTCTGAAGTCCTCCACCGGTCCCGCTTGCATGCGTTCCCGGATCTTCATAATTTCTTCGTCGGTTTCCTGACCCTTCTTGATCTCATCAAGTAAAGTAGGTCTCACCTCAAATCGTGCCAATAAGGCACCATCGCTGGATACCTCCAGTTGGGCTCTTAATGCCCTCAAATTAGCTAGCAATGCCCCAGACGAGCTCTTCCGACTCAAAGCATCTGCCACCACATTTGCCTTGCCTGGGTGGTACTCTATCACTAGATGGTAGTCTTTTATCAGTTCCATCCACCGTCTCTGTCTCATGTTTAGCTCTTTCTGAGTAAACACGTACTTCAAGCTCTTGTGATCAGTGTATATGTGACATGTCTCCCCGTAGAGATAATGTCTCCATATCTTCAGTGCAAACACCACTGCTCCCAGCTCCAGATCATGGGTAGGATAATTTACCTCATGCTTCTTCAACTGTCGTGAAGCATAGGCAATTACCCTCCCTTCCTGCATCAACACACACCCAAACCCTTGGATGCTCGCGTCACTATAGACATCGTACCCCACACCCTGTTTGGGTAATGCAAGTACCGGTGCCTCGGTCAATCTCTTCTTTAGTTCGATGAATCCTTTCTCACATTTGTCATCCCATATAAACTTAGCTCCCTTTCGAGTGAGCTTCGTCAACGGCGACGCCAAAACAGAGAACTTTTCCACGAACTTTCTGTAATAGCCTGCCAATCCAAGGAAACTACGAATCTCCTTGACATTCCTTGGTCTCTCCCATTCGGTAATGGCCTCTATCTTCTTATTATCAACAGCAATTCCCGATCCCGAAACCACATGCCCGAGAAAGCCAATTTCCTTTAGCCAAAATTCACATTTAGAAAATTTGGCATAAAGTTGCTTCTCCCGTAGTGTCTCAAGAACGAGTATCAAGTGCTCTTCATGCTCTTCCTCACTCTTTGAGTAAATCAAAATGTCGTCTATGAACACAATCACGAATCGATCCAAGTATTTATGGAATACTCGGTTCATCAAGTCCATGAATGCCGCTGGGGCGTTTGTCAACCCAAACGACATAACAAGGAACTCAAAATGTCCATACCTTGTGCAGAAAGCACTCTTTGGTATGTCGTCTTCCTTAATCTTCAATTGATGGTAACCCGACCTCAAATCGATCTTTGAAAACACGGTTGCCCCTCGTAGTTGGTCAAACAAGTCATCAATTCTAGGCAAAGGATACCTATTCTTGATTGTGACCTTGTTCAGTTGACGATAATCAATACACATTCGAAATGTCCCATCTTTCTTTTTCACAAAAAGAACTGGTGCTCCCCACGGGGAGTGGCTTGGTCTAATGAAACCGTTATCCAAAAGCTCTTGCAATTGGGTTTTCAACTCGTTAAGTTCAGCGGGTGCCATACGGTATGGCGGTATGGAGATTGGTTTGGTGCCGGGCTCGACCTCGATCACGAACTCAATCTCCCTATCGGGTGGAAGTCCCGGTAAGTCTTTAGGAAAGACGTCCCGATACTTGCATACTACCCTAACATCATCAATGCTCGTATCTTCTTTGGTTTTGTCCACCACATACGCTAGATATGCGTGACACCCCTTCCTCATCATATTCTTAGCCCTCACGGCGGATATGATACAACTACTGGATTTTGCCCTATCCCCCTCGAAGCGTAAGGTTACCCCTTCATTGCCTTCGAGTTCAAGTACTTTCGTGTAACAATCGACCCTAGCATGATGCTTCTCAAGCCAATCCATCCCCAGGATTGCATCGAACTCAATCATACTCAGCGGCACGAAATCACACGACAAGTTTTGGCCCTCCACTTCCACCTCACACGATGGATAGTGGCTATCTCTCTCGATGTCTTCCCCTAGGGGTGTGGATACCAATAGGGCTTGAGCCATCGGTACCAGGGGTGCGTTGAATCCCCCGGCGAATGCCTCACTCACAAATGATCGTTGCGCCCCGGTATCGATGAGGATTCTTGCACATCTCCCATTAATCTTTAGTGTTCCTACATTTATAAACCATGTAAGATACCTCTCTAACATACCGACCAATCCTACGAAGAACATAATGCGAAATCATGTCCTTAAAGTGGGCAAAATCCCCCAATTATGGTTGACGTTCGCAGTTGAGATATAGATTGACACTGTCTCACCGTTTTGATCATATCTCTTCACATACTTAACCAAATCGTTCGATTCAAATTCCATCATTTAGACAATGAAAATATCTACAACTTTCATGAAGACAACTTTTTCATTTGACGAACACTTCGAGGTGTACCCGGTCGGGTAACATACTATACCCGATCGGGTATAAGTTCCAGTGGGTTCGGGCAGAATTTTTTTGACAAACCCGGTCGGGTTTACCACCATACCCGGTCGGGTATGTGTTCCAGAAAGTGTCTGGAAGATATTTTTGACAAACCCGGTCGGGTATACCACCATACCCGGTCGGGTATGTGTTCCAGAAGGTGTCGGGCAGAAATTTTTGACAAACCCGGTCGGGTATACCACCATACCCGGTCGGGTATGTGTTCCAGTGGACTTATGAGTGCAAAAACTTGTCCTACCCGGTCGGGTTCATTACCAAACCCGATCGGGTATGCGATCCAGAAGGTTTACGAGGGCAAAAACTCGTCCCACCCGGTAGGGTTTATTGCCCTACCCGATCGGGTAGTAGCATGGTTTTGCTCTCCTTTCCCATTTCAATCTTACGTCTGCTCCCACCTGGATTCTAGGATTTATAACTTCAATTTATGGACTAATTAAGGATAAAACACTAGTATACGAGAGGCAATACCTGCAACGGAATCCGGGTTAGCTTGAGCATCCGCCTCCGTCATCGCGTAGACCCTAGCTTGAGTCCTTCCTTGATTCACGGACGGCGCGTTGCTTGCGCTTGCTCCCCCTTGCCCCCTGGACGCTTGTGAAGTCCCGGCTTGATTCCGTGTCCCGGTATTACCACTACTTGGCCCTGATGCCCTCGTCCCGCCCAGTTGTGGGCAGCTCATCTTCATGTGACCGGTGCTCCCGCATTGGTAGCATCTAGGAGGGTCACGACATTTCCCCGGGTGGTTCCTCTTGCAATTCTTGCAACGAGTCACCCCCGAGGCTTGTGATTGCCCGCCCGGGCCATGACTTCCCCTAGGTGGCAGTGGGGGTGTCCGAAAAGATCCCCCTCCCCCATGGTTCCCCTTTTTGCTAGGACCTTGATGCCCATGGTTCTCCCACTTCCTCTTCTTTGCCTCTTCGGCGTTCTTCAACTTTCTTTCCTCCCATTCTTTCTCTCCTTTTAACCCTTGCTCGACCACTTGGCTAAAAGTCATGTTAGGCAACTGTGTTGCCCTCTCACGCACCTCCAGGTCTAAGGCATCCCAGAAGTGATTTACCATCCGGTTCTCGTCACACACATACTCCGGTATGAACTCCGCGAGCTCCCTGAATTTGTGTTCAAGTTGCCTCACCGTCATTTTGCCCCCTTGGGTCAGGAGGGTATACTCTCTCCTCTTGGCGTTCACCTCAAAATCAGAATAATATTGGGCAAAGAACTCCTGTCGGAAATTCTCCCAAGTCACCGTGTTGCCATACTTTCCCTTGGCTCCGTCCCACCATGTGGATGCCATCCCTTCAAGCAACCTCACCGCCACCCTTAGCTTAAACTCGGGGGTGAGTTGCATATCAAGGGCTGCTTCGTTCAGCCTCTTGATCCATTCCGCGGCAACCGAGATGTCACCTGCTCCGTTGAAGGGTTTGCACCCCAAGTCTCTCGCCTCTTTGAGAAATTTTGAGATCCTTATGATCGGACCTCCATCACCCCGGCCCCCATGTGGTTCAATGTGGGCCCTAGAGTCGCCTTGGCTTCTTCCTCTTGAAGCCCCACCCAAAGTTCGCCCTCCCCGGCGCCTTCGGCTTTCCCTCCTTTCTTCGCGCTCCCCGCTGATATTGTTGGAGCAGCGCCTCGATTCTGGCTAGGGAGTCATTCTCCCCTTCTTCATCACTTATATCATCGTCATCCCCTTCGTAAGGGGTCTCAACCGGCTCGGTCTCCGGTTGGTAAGTTGAGTCCTCATAGGACCAGTAGGTTTCACTTTCTGTGTCAACATGACCGTCACTCACGGTCTGTGATCGGCCTCCACGGCCAGCTCCCCTAGACGCCCTAGAGGTCCTTCGACTGCCCTGTCCAGTCTCCACTGGTACACGGCCCGTCGGGTTTCTCCTAGTAATCCTGCCACCACCGTCCATTTCTGAAAGAAATTTGGAAAGAGTCATTAGACTCGTATCAAATGTCAATTGACGGATAGGTACTTAAGACACATTTTGGCTCGAGTCACCGCCATACCAATTGCTAAGGGTACCATCTTAACAATTAGAGACCTTGCAACCCAAGTACCAAAAGCTCTCCAAGTACAAAACTCCTATGCTCATGGTTTTCAAAATCTTTTTCAAAAAGAGAATTTTGAGACTTCATTATGAAGTTTATGGACTAAGGCTCTGATACCAACTTAATTGTCACGCCCCGGACCTCCCCGGACACGCCAACAACCCGCCGTACAATACGAATAGTCAACCGCAGTCCAACACATTCATATTATACAAGGCGTCCCGAATATCATTCACACGTAAGCCATCCATAAACAAACATAATAAGTAATCGAATACATAGCGGAAAACATAGTTTGAAAACAAATGCCACACGTGGCTAACATGAGCACGCAGGCTCTAAAGTAAATATCCATGAGCATGTTTATTAATGTTTAAAACTGAATGGAGGAAGCACGAACCAAGTCTTCCCTCCTAGATGATCCCTCGAGCAACGAGCACAGGAAGCAAGCTCTAGCCTCAACCTGAAAAATGGTGGTGGGACGCCCCCGAAGGGGGTCAGCACTCTATACGGCTATAAAGTGCTGGTGTGGATGGCATCTAATAGATATACAACAAGTATTTCAAACACAAGACCCTCAAATAGGGTGATAATATAATCTAGGCCGTAACCCCAAGTTACCCCGTTTTAAAATATACTTACTTTATATATAAAGTCAAGTAGTCGGCCCGTAGGCCCAAGGTTTGTTTATCAAACATACTCCAAAATCCCGTGACCCCTAGTCACAACAATACATAGGGTCCAACCCTAACACATATGTTTGCATTCTCGAGTCCAACTCGACTACATCACCATGCACCTTTATTAACATAAGCTAACTACTCCACCGTGCATTCTCGAGTCCAACTCGACTACATCCCCATGCACACAATCACCTCATCATGTCTACCCAATGCAATTCTATGAGCACGGGCTCAAGTACATCTCCTTACATTGGCATAGACCCCAATTCCTAAGCACTCACTAGGCCTAGAATTGTAATATCAATAATCTATCTTGGGACATCCCTACGGACTGCCCAACCATGGTCTTAGCATCACATTACATCAATTTAGTCACTTGCATCACAATCAAGTTCATCAATTACAATCAAATCCTTAGATTCAATTCTTCAACAATTTCAACAATCATTAACTAGTATTTCAATACTATTAAGATTATTCTTATCAATCATATATTCCATTTGTAAAACCCTACATATTTAGAGATATGTAGCAGCAACTTAATCATTCAATGTAATACATAAATAATCATTTATGTATCTACACAATTCACACATGAGTAAAATGCCTATTTCACACAATAGTTTATTTAACTCCATTTTCATCAATACTTTACCAAATCATTTCTTATTTCATTCTTTGGAAAATAGATCAATATTCCATCAATAGGTTATCATCATAATCCATGGAAAACATTATTTAAGCATTTAGGTAATCTCATGCTTAACCTACAAGTTGTAAGCAACTAGATGTCGATCCTCACCTCAAATGAGCTTTAAAACCTTCCTTCTCGATCCAATGGCTAAAGCCTCGGCCAAGGAAGATTGGGAACTAGTTCCTTGCTTGAAAATGGGTGCTAAACAGCCTCCTCAAGTTGTTATTTCAACCCCGAATCGTTGATACTAAAACAGCCCCTAGAACGGGTGTTTTCCGGCTAACTCGATTCCTAGTTTTCCAATGTTTGCATCTAGGTTAGTATCTAACCTTTACATCAATAAAATAACTTAATAGGGATGTTTTATACACTTGGAGTAGTGTATAATAGTCCCACCAATCGTTCATATCATTTGGAAAATGAATGGAAAGGTTTTGGGATTAACAACTCACTTAGAAGAGTAAATCCGTCCCTGCGAGGTCTCGTTCTGCTCGGACGATTTGGAAGCCTTCCTCTACTCCGATTGATGCAAACCAGACCTTCACGGATTCCTCGTCTTGAGAGCTTTCTTTTGGTATCTCACACGCCTTAATTGGATTGGTAAAATTCGAGATATCGGCCAAACAGTCTCAGCACTCTCACAGCTCGAGTTCACAGACCTCTGCTCGTTCCAGATCGATTTGTGGATGATTGACTTCTCCTCTAGAACTGTGGCCACTCAAATATGAAAATAGACTTCAAAAGCTATCCAAAGACACCTTATACACGTTGTTTGGTCGAGTATAACTCCCATAATGAGTGGAGACAAACAGCACACCATTTTGTGCGGAAATTGACAAGGTGGGTCTCAAGGTTGATTCCAATCAAGTCTTGTGCAGCCCTCCTCCAGCTGGTGCGGCCAAGGTAAGTCTCCTCACTTAATTTTCTTGTTTTGTAGGTACTCTAATCATGTGGAGTGGTTCCCAATTGATCCCAATTAATTTGGGATCCAAATTATCTACCAATACTTCCAAAAATGGGGAAAATGGGTCCTATTGTTTTATCTTTGTCAAAAGATGCCTTTTTGTACTCATCCTAATTTATTTAGAACAAGTCAACTTCCTAAATCACATTATTGATCTCCAATATGTGTAGGCTCATCCCAATAATTTACATTATGAAAATTACAAACGAATGCGGGTTTGAACAATACAATATTCAATCATATACTTCGTAAAATATTAATCGTTTCTTCCATTATTTTGAAATCGGAAATTCAATACATCACTTTGGAATTTTAAATCGAATTTTCAAGGACGTTCGGGTGCGGTGTCACAATCAGGATATTCCTAGCCTATGCTGCTTACAACAACATCAAAGTATACCAGATGGATGTCAAGAGTGCATTTCTGAATGGAGAACTTGAAGAGGAAGTTTATGTTGAACAACCTCCAGGTTTTGTCATTCCTACTCAATCTTCTTGTGTCTACAAGCTCAGAAAGGCCCTTTATGGTCTTAAGCAAGCTCCCAGAGCTTGGTATGACACATTGTCCCTATTTTTGGTGAACCATGGGTTTACTAAAGGAAAGGTTGACAAGACTCTTTTTCAAATTTCTGTTGCTAATCATATTCTGTTAGTGCAAATTTATGTTGATGACATTATATTTGGAAGCACTAATCCAGAATTATGCAAGAAATTTTCTCAAGTTATGCAGAAGAAGTTTGAAATGAGCATGATGGGAGAACTCAGTTACTTTCTTGGTTTACAAGTCAAACAAGTACCAGAAGGCATCTTTATCAACCAAGGAAAGTACACCAGAGATCTCATCAAGAAGTTTGGAGTAGATGGAAAATCTTCAGTCAAAATTCCTATGAATGCATCTCAAGGAATTGGACCAGATGATGAAGGGAAGGATGTTGATGCAACAACTTATAGAGGAATCATTGGATCTCTCCTCTATCTGACTGCAAGCAGACCAGACATAGCTTTTGCAGTAGGAATCTGTGCCAGATACCAATCAAAGCCCAAGGAGAGCCATCTAATTGCTGCTAAGAAGATTATCAGATATATCAAAGGAAATCCTAATGCAGGCCTATGGTATCCCAAGGAAGGTAATTTTGAACTAATTGGTTATTCTGATTCAGATTTTGCAGGTTGTAGATTGGACAGGAAGAGCACTTCTGGTCACTGTCAATTGCTGGGTGGGAGACTTGTCTCCTGGTTTAGCAAGAAGCAGAATTCAATCTCAACTAGCACTGCTGAAGCTGAGTATATTGCTGCTGGAAGCTGCTGTGCTCAATTACTCTGGATGAAGCAACAACTCAAGGATTATGGAGTGCAAGCAAAGGAGATCAAGCTGTTGTGTGATAACACAAGTGCCATTGCCATCACTCAGAATCCTGTGCTGCATTCAAGAACAAAGCACATTGAGATCAGACATCACTTCATCAGAGATCATGTGGAGAAGAAGCACATCTCAATTGAGCATGTTCCAACTGAAGAT